AGGAAGGAAGGAAGGAAGGAAGGAAGGAAGGAAGGAAGGAAGGAAGGGAAAATCCAGACTAAAATTTTTATAAATGACCTCTAAATTTCTGAGCCTGTTTTGGAGGTGGGTGGTAGGTTGACTAATTTTGATGTATTTGGAGAAACATATTGGAGAAGATTTAGAAACCCCAAGAAGAAAAAGTGCTCTGATAGAGCAAGAGAATTCTCACAATGTTGGAAGAAAGCATATTGATGCCCATCGTTCCAAATGTCTGGTATTAGAAAAGAAAAATCAAAACATAGAGGATTAACCAATGTCAGTACCAGCAGCATAACTAGATGAGAGAAACAGCTTCCTCCAGTTGTGAGATGCCATGATGGGTATCATTTACAGATCATCTGTGAAGGTTTCAAGTCTTCCATTCTTTGCACAAATATCCTTAAATCTCAGAGCAGGCAAGTTATGAATGGAAACCAGATGTACTCATCTATCGGTGAGGCAGACATCACCATCCTTATTCAATGTTAGTCTCCACGTCTTACCAAATAGAAGATAATAAGTAATAATGATAATAGAAGATAGTTAATAATAATAGATTATACACATATCTATATCTATCTATTTACCTATATCTATTTATATCTATATCTGTCTGTCTATCATCTATCTATCTATCTATCTATCTATCTATCTATCTATCTATCTATCTAGTCAGTGTGATTGTGCTACCTAGGACCTTCACCCCTTATCTATCCTTTTGTACCCCTATTCCAGTTGCATTAGAGTTTTCCCCTTAGCTGTCTCTTTCATGCTTTGAACGATTCTTTGTATTAAGCCATCGCTCTCCCTCTCTCACTATGTTGTGGAGTAACTGAAGCCCTTGCTCCAAACCCACAACTTATCTCATTATCCTGCTTGGACTGGAGCTTTTTTCCTCCTGTTCAATCTTCTCACAAATGCTCACTCCACACCTTCATTAGCCTGTCCTTTAAACAAGATAACAGTAATAATGACTTGAATGGTCGGAAGAGAACATATATATTTGCTAGGTATAGTAGTATGATTCTTTAATCTCAGCACTGGAGCAGCAGAGGCAGGTACATCTCTATGCGATTGAGGCAAGCCAGGTCTCCACAGTAAATTCCAGAAAAGTTAGAGCTACATGGTGAGACTCTGTCTCAAAAACAACAACGAGAAAATGCTTTTATATAATGGCCAGAAAATACGTGTTTCTAGACTTGCTCTCCCAGTCAATTCTCTGGGCTTTGTTTTTCTTCGTTTGTGTTTTGTTTTGTTTTTCGATTTTCACCCTTATAGTCCTAGAAGAAATAAACTATACCAGTTAGGTTTTTTATTATAACTCTTTATTCTTTATTCTTTGACAATTTCATGTATACATTGACTTTATGTAATATTCATACACATAACCTCACTCCTCTGCATTTCATCCCATCTTGCTTTTTCTTCCCAACTACACTCTTCATACTTTGACAGTTTTTCTTTTCTTTTTACTGTTTACATTTGCTTTGATCCAGTAGTTACAACTGAGGTTGTTTTTACAAGCATCGGTGTGGATGACAGGTCCTCCCATAATACTCCTTAACTGCACTGAGACCCTCAGTGGTAGTAGTGGATCAAGAGTATCCCTGTACCTGATAGAACAGTGACAGGTCTCATCTTGTACAGGTCTACATTAACTTCATGATGTAAATGGCCTTGTTGTATGTAAAGGATAGATTCTCACAGCATTCCCTCCTAGCCTCTAATTTTTACATTTCTTTCTCTCCTTCAGAGATACTCCCTGAGCTTTGAAGGGAGTGATACAGATGTCTTGTTTAGGATGAAACATTACGTTGTTAGATACTCTCAACACTTTCAGCAGTGGTGAATCTCTGTATTAAATAATCCTCTATGCCACTCCCCCACACATAGACACACAGAAGCACACACAGAAGCACACACACACACACACACAAGCATACACACAGGCACACACACAAGGACAGGAAATACAAATTCTCTGATGAAGGCTCAAAGCAGTATTGGTTATAATATAAAGATGCATATTTAGAAGGCAGTTTGATACCATGTCCATTAGGAAAACAATCTTAAGTTTTCCTATAGGTCCTATGACTTCTCTAGCCACAGGGCCTTGACCAGGTGAGTTCTGTCCTGTAGAGCAGGCTTCAAATCCAATCAGAAATCAGACAGTTACAAAAACAATATTCACAGCACCATTTCAGTTTTAGGCATAGCTTGTCAAGCAGATTATTATTGTAGCTCACGGGGTACACATTTGGGCAGGACCGTTGTTGACTCTTCTCTCCAGCCAGCTTACATAGTACATTATGACACCATGAAGCCTGGCCATCAGGATGGACTCTTCATGCTACCATGAAGTTTGATTTTCCAATGTCTTGCAACCCAAGTGTATTGTATCTTCACCAGTAGGTTCTTATAATTTTGTCCTGGTGGGCAACCAAGAATACTGACAATATCTACAATACTGTGGACCTCCTTGGCTAGCACCTTATATGGAGAGATCTCAAACTTGGTGTTATGATTTTCGTTTAATAACCTTTGGCTTCTTTTTTTTAATGAAACATTCAATTTATTGATCTTTGGGGTAATGTGATTCACTGTCATTGTATTACAACTGAGCCATTAGTCGTGTTGCTTCATCAACGTTAGCTGCTTCATTTTCATGGTGCTTCAGCTCTTTCTGCACAGATTTAAGAGAAAGGCTTTTTGAGAAGTTTGCAAGTTCTTTCTGTATATTTACAAAAGCTCTGTTCATTCTGTTGATTTTTTCATGATTCATAATGTTTATCTTCTTAAGATTAGTAGTAACTGGTTTTGCCTTGTTTTTAGCCTTGAAAGTTTTGTGGATAGCTATATGAAATACATTCCTGGACTTCTGCCCTTTTAGTTTGTTCTTGGCCATTGTCAAAGTTCACGAGGCACTTCAGGTTCGCAGTGACCCTTTGGCTTCTTGAAGAAGCATTATCTACCCTTGTACGGTGCCTCCACTTAAAACACTTTTAACTGAGTTTTTAAAAATACATATTTTATGATATATATATATATGAATACACACACACACACACACACACACACACACACACACATATATATAAAAATATATACATATATATATATATGAATGTTTGCTTATATGTATATATGTGTATCATATGTGCCTGATGCCTGCACAGGGCAGAAGGGAGAGTCAAATTCCCTGGAACCAAAGTTACAGACAATCATGAGCCTCTATGTGGGTGCTAAGAACTGAACCTGGATCTTCTGGAGGACCAGGAAATGCTTTTTACCACTGGGCCATCTTTTCTGAGTTTTTGTTTGTTTCTTAATGGACTAACAAAAGAGTAGGCTTCCATAGGAAGTTTTCATCATTTTTAGTTTTGTTTAACTCTTGCACATCCTCTACTCTCCCTGGCCCTCCTGCTCCTATCCTCACTTAAACCCATTTATCTTCACTATGTTGATAAGACTGGAAACTGACACAGCCTCTGTGGAAATCAGTGTGGACACTTTCCAGAAAGCGACAAATACGTCTGCTATATTCTCTCTATACATCTATATAGATATAAACAGATAGACAGACATAGGCATAAACATAGACAGACATAGGTACAGGCATACACATAGGCACAGGCATAGACATAGGCATAGGCATAGATGTAGACAGACACAGATGTAGACATAGACATAGACATACACATACATGTGGACATACACATAGACATACATATACACATAGATATACACATAGATATACACATAGACATAGACAGGCATAGACATAGGCATAGGCATAGGCATAGGCATAGGCATAGGCATGGACATGGGCATAGACACAGGCACAGGCACAGGCACAGGAATAGACATAGCTATAGACATATCCCCAGACAATCTGAAACTTGCACCAGTCATACTTGTGTATCCATGTTCATTACTACTCTATTCACAATAGCCAGAAAAGGGGATGAGCCTAGATGCCCAACAGTGAATGACCAAATGGAGAATGAAATTGTGGTACATGTGGTACACAATACAATATTATTAAGATGTAAATAATTATGAAGTGTGCAAGAAAATTAATAGAAGTGAGAAAGAAAATCACACCAAGTAAGGTAACCCCGTTGCAAAAGTACAAATGCAACGTATACCTTATGATGCAGATGCTAGCTTCACATACTGCGTTTAAATTAGAGTGTTTATGAAGACCGGGATGCTAGAAATGGGCATTGCAGGCATGGTTTAAGGCAAGGATGATAGCGGAGCACATTTGTGTCTTTTATTAATGAATTACGTTTCTGGAAAGTCTTAGTCATTGCCCAAGAAATATGGTCCCAGTGGTAAGATCACTATCCAAAATATCATTGCCTGAGCACACATCACATTTTCCCTCTCTCTTGTATCTCTCACCGGAGTTCAGATAATACAGCCTTTTGCCAGAAACCAGCTGGAACGTAATCTTATGCAGTAGTTCTCAAGCCTTCTCCAGCCAGGAACCTTTTGTGACTGGAATCTCCCAGGACTGAGAGTGAAGCTGGCTCAGTTAGACTTTTTGTGATGAAGCTGAATAGGCTGAGCTGTAAAAGCCCTCAGAATTAACGTGGCTATGCAGTGACAAATGTAGTCACATAACAAAGTAGGTCATCTATTTATTTTTTATTATTAGTGGGTATCGTTACACAGTGTGGTGGGTGTCATCGTGACATTTTCTTTTAAGTCTATGATAAACTTTAACTGTGTTCACCCCATTACTCTCTGTTGTCCTTCACTTTCCAAGTCCAGCAGGTCTCCTTTTGAAGGCCATAGGAATCTTTATACAGTAATCTTTGGTTCAATTTAGGAAGACTCAGCTGCCCATACATTAAAATCTAAATATCACATCTGTCAATCCTCAAATCCCACACCCCATCCACAAAACTTTTTTTTGTGTTTTTGTAGGTTTTTGTTGTTTTGTTCTGTCTTGTCTTGTTTTGAGACAGATTTACTTTGTGTATCCTTAACTGTCCTGGAACTCACTTTGTAGACCAGGATTAAGAGTGTCTGGAATTAAGAGTGTATGCCACCAGGCCCAGCTTCACAAAAGCTCTTCAAAGGCCCGGCTAAACATGCTTACACATTTTGTTATTACTGCAACCTTGTAGGGTCCACATTACCTGACATATTCAAATTGTAGAAGGTGCCTGATGCTGTTATTGGCTATTTTCAAGGAGAAGAAAAGAACATACCTCAATTAGAATAAAACATATCTTAATCATGAAGATATCACTAAAAGCAATCTGATTTAGGAAGAAAGTTAGCGAAGTATATATCCTAAATGGTAGAAACTTTGATCCAATCTGTGAAAAGTCCAGAATGCCACTCCTCTAAGCCAATACTTAGATAGTCTTAAAATAGAAAATGTTACTGGTCGCTTTGTCTCTACTTTGTTATTTTCCTCAAGTGCTGTCTCCACATGTGTCCTGAAGAGCATTTCCATTAGCTTACCCCAACTCTGCAGCCAACTGACACAGCCAACTAGCCTCCCGGGCGGTAGGTAATGGCCACTCATCTGTAGAACTTAGACGGTGCCTTCAAGGCACCCATAGTTTGCTTTCCTTAGTTTGTGCTCCATTCCGTGCCCATTATACACACACTAAATAATTGAAAAGAAGTTATAGAAATGGTTCAAACTACTTGAATTACTTGAGAAAATAAATAGATATTAAAATCAAGAAATGTGGGTAAAAAAGCTTTTTAGAGGGTTTATTTGAATACCATTTATTTATGTGTTGAAAGGACAAGTTTTATATCGAATTTTGTTATTTTGCTGCATAATTCATATTCATAATCTCAAAAAGAAAATTTGTATTTTTAAAACATGGTGTGTTTTATTAAGTAGAAAATTCTGTTAGTTTTCCAAAAGGTCTTGTGACTTGTAACATGGAGAAAGAAGAGGTCAGAGTCTCTCGAAGGATTAGATTTGAGTGTGTGTGTGTGTGTGTGTGTGTGTGTATGTAAACACATTCATTCTTATGGCCAAATACAAATCTTATAGCTAGAAATATTACCCAAATGCCTCATCTCAGTCTATAAAGGGATTCTTATGACAAGCAGAATATAAGAGCTGTTTGAACTTGGGCTGGCAAAATGGTCCAAATGGTAAAAGGCAGTTCCTACCAAACGTAATGATCCGAGTTCAATACCCAGAACCTACATGGTCCAAGGTATTAAGTAACTGTACAAGTTGTCATCTGACTTCACTGTACACACACTTAATCTCTCTCTCTCTCTCTCTCTCTCTCTCTCTCTCTCTCTCTCTCTCTCTCTCACACACACACACACACGCACACACACAATTCTTAGTATTTTGTATGTTCTTAGTAACATATCAAATAATCTTTCTTATTGGACTTTTCTTCATAACAAAATTATGTGTCTGAATGTGTTAAGTGTGTGTGTGTGTGTGTGTGTGTATTTGAGTACTGGCATGCATTTGCTACATGGCTGTATGTATAGATTGTATTCGATTGTTGTTTTTTTTTCAAACAAATTTTGAATTTATTTTTTTTAATTTCTTTTTTTTTTGAACATGAAATGCTTTTTTATAGCATGTTTTACAAGGAGAGGGGGTAAGAGGGGCCAGGTGGTGGAAAAGTACAAAATCTTCTTGGCCTGTGCCTTGAAACATGTCATGGTCTATACGGTACACTGCCTTAAATTATGATCTACCTGCTGTTCTTCAGAAGATATAGTACACTGCTTGAGTTATGGTCTCCCTGCTATTCTTAAGATGATATGGTACTCTGCTTTGAGTCTATCTGCAGTTGCTAAGCAGGATCTTGCAGTTGCCAAGCTTCAGAGGACATTGTGCAGGTGGGGAAAGGTAGGGGGTGAGGGTAAGGGCGAGGGTCCTGGCTTCTGGCATCTCCCCCTTCTCTGTTTAGTTAGAGAAGGCATCTTATGATCAATCCCAACTATGTGAATTTTGAATTTGGATGTCTAATTATGGGGGGTCTTAGACAAGTTCACAACCCCAGAACACTGATGTGAGACAAGTCACATCGATGGTCGAAGGTTTTAGGCTGTCGACGAAGGGCAACGTCAAGGGACTCCGATGTGGGTGAAAGGAGGGTGAGAGCCCTGTCTTAGGCCATGTAGGCTGCACCCACTCCCAGCACCACACACTCCTTTTCGGCTGCATTGGGTGGGCCCCTGGGAAGTGGACCTACAATAATCCCGTCATTGGGCTAACTCACAGCCATCCTAGTCTCTTGTAAATGTTCAAGTTACCAACCATTTGTCAGTTTGGGGTGTAATATTGTCATAAAGGAAGGCTCCCCAATGTTAGCGGCCATATCAAGGGCAGCCTTGGTTTAGGAAAAAGCCAATTTTTGTTGTGGTGATCAAGAGGCCAAGCTCTCTAGCGAGAGAAGCGAGGGCAAAGCCAGGCATACCAGGAACCCTTCTGGAGGGCGTGGAAGTCTAGCGGTCGACCATAGGGGAAGGCAGGGGAGCTGGCAGCTGTGTCAGTCTCCTGCAGAGTCACTTCTGGATCCTCTTCAATTTTTGGCTGATGGTAATGAACTTCAACCATCTTCTTGATGGCAACATCAACCTGGTTCCGTGGATGACAGGTCGCAGGCGACGATCTCTGTCTCGCTCAATCTTGATGTCGTGCGCACATCCTCTCAATGAGGGTCTGTCCAGAGGGGTCCGTGCCTCGAGCCCCACGTCTGGGTGCACTTGACCCGACCGGCAGGTCCTAGTTATTCGTGGGGGCGAGGAGGACTGCAACCTGCTATTCTTCAGAAGATATGGTACACTGCTTGAGTTATGGTATCCCTGCTATTCTTCAGATGATATGGTACACTGCTTTGAGTCTATCTGCAGTTGCCAAGCAGGATCTTGCAGTTGCCAAGCTTCAGGGGACCTTGTGCAGGTGGGAAAAGGTAGGGGTTGA